ATACAAAATTCAAACAACAAAAAACTTAAATATTTTAAACTAAAAAATACAATAAATATGCAAAAGCTTACAAAGTTCAAACCCACTAAAACGGGGGTTGAAAACGGCAAGATTAAGAGGGGCAAACGGCAGCGGCGGCAGACTTCGGCAGCGGGGGGCCTTTACGGGGAGGTTTTAGGATTTTTTTGATGAAAAAATAATGCGGACTTTGACGGTGAGGTTTTAGGATTTTTTTGATGAAAAAATAATTAAAACTTATAATAATGTTGATTTGGTAAGGATTTAGAAGAGAATTGATGGTGATTTTTGTAGTTTGGGGTCGGAAAATCGGAGAAAACTGGGGAGAGGCCGAGAGAGAGAGAGAGAAAGAGATCAGAAAAAATAGAGGAGGAGGCTCTGGTCGTAGGCATATAGACAGAGTTTTTCTCGATGACAAAAAAACATATTTGCGACAATATGTCGCCGCAAATATAACTTAACATTATTTGCGACAACGCATTGCGTCGAAAATATAACTTTATTATTTAACATGTATAAGGAAGGTTCTGGAATTATTATTTGCGACGACACATATAATTGTCGTCGCAAATAAGTTTTGGGGTACCGCCCAATTTCTCCGCTGTTTATTTTAGTGGGGGAATACAAAATCAATTTTTGCGACGACACCTATTAATGTCGTCGCAAATAAATTTTGCGAACTGCCAAAATGACCCCTTTTTACTCGGGGGGGGGGGGGGGGGGGGAAAAATGGGGGGGGGGGGGGGGGTGAATAAATAAATGAATTATTATTTACAATGATAAGTCGTCGCAAATAATGTTATTTTAACAACAAACGTTGGTGCCAAACAACATTTACCGCCAACTACATATTGCACTTCAACCCTATGATAGGCTAATATATATAGCAGCAAACAACCAAGGGATATATATGGTGTTCCTGTCTTTGTGTATTTTTCTTCTTTATGGAGGAATCTAGAAAATTAGTCTTGAAGCTTGTGGGCTTTGGCAAATACAAGAGCAGATTTTGAATTTTTCTTATATTTTCATCCCTATTTCAATTCCAACTCTGCACATTAACCCATTTTCAGCTAATTATAACACAAATTGAGTAAAATAAATTTGTTAGGAGAGACCTAGAAAACAATATAATAAATTAAATACAAAACTAATTAAACTAAATTAAAAGTACACTAAAACCAAATAAACTAAAATGCAAGTAAACTAAATTAAAAACTACAAGAAATAAACTAAAATTAATGAGAGTCTCAAGAAAATGGACCATTTAAATGTACAAAAAGTGGTGAAATAACTCTATGATCTTATAGAGTTATCGAGTTATCTTAACACATAATTTTTTTATAGTGCTTTCACATATCACTTATCATGCCATTGCGTAGTAGTAACTCTCCCACCTCTCTTCCTTCCCTCTCCACCTTTTGTTCCTTATTTTTTTACGTATGTTTTGCTATTTACTAATCTTATTTTGTTTTTTATTTGTTTTTTAACTTTTGTCGAGGGCGCTTTTATAGTTTAATTTTTTAACAACTATCTTCGCAACATCTAAGACATATAAAAGCAATCAAGTGGACTTGCTTCTAAAGAGCCCACGTGTTGGCCTTGTTCTTCTTGTTTTTTTTATCTTTCTTTCTTTTTTTTCCTTCCCTAATATTTTTTAGAGAGTTCTTTTTTTTTTATAATATCCTTCTTTAAAATACTTTATTCTAATAAAAATAATTTTTTTCAAATATGTCCCTACTTAGTTTTTTAGACTCTGATATAACTATAGTTCTTTTTTTTTCTTTTTTTAAATTTTCCTCTTTCTCTTTCTCTTTTATTTTTTCTTCATCTCTTTTACTTATTATTTTTTTTTTGTTTTTTTTCTGTAACATTCTTTGACTGTTCATTTTTTTTTTTACACTTTCATTCTTTGAAACACTTTATTTTCTTTACTTTATTTTAATTAAAATAAGAAATGTCTCCCAACTCTTTTTTGTCAAAAAGTCATATATATTTTTATTCTTTCTCGATATAATTTTTTTAAAAATATTTTTCTCTAACACTAATTAATGGACTTATCTTCTAAGATGGTTATATATTTTAACGTGGAATTAAACTTATAAAGTTATTCCTCACATAGCATGTGGCTCAACTAGTCTAATCTAATCTAACAAACATAAAAGAGCTAGCGTGCCACGTGTTAGCCTCTCCTCTTATTTTTTTTTCCTTTTCTACTCATATTTTTCTTATTTTTTATTTTTAATTTTTTTAAAAATTTTTTGTGAATGTTTTTCACATTTAAATTTTTTGTCCATTTTTAAAATTATATTTTTTTCTCACTTTACTCCTATGAATACAATTTTTTACATTTATTCCTATTTTAGGTTTTTAGTAGTTAAAACAATTCCCTTCAAATGTGTCCATCCTTAATTGTTTTTCGTGTAATTTCTTTGATATACACATATTCCTTCTTTCAAAAAATTCAAAAGTTCTTAAATAATTATATAAATAAATTTATCATTATTAAAGAAATAATAAACTCTTTAAGCGTTTTTTTAATACGTGAATACGTCAGAAAAGTATGATCAAAAGCGATCAATAATGATGCAAGTACAGTAGGTCCCGGTTTATTTATTAGGACAGTGAAAGGAGCGGACCTCTCCTTCTTTCGATAAAATCAAAAGTTCTTAAATAATTATATAAATAAATTTATTATTATTAAATAAATAATAAACTCTTTAAGCGTTTTTAATACGTGAATACGTAGAAAAGTATGATCAAAAGCGATCAATAATGATGCAAGTACAGTAGGTCCCGGTTTATTTATTAGGACAGTGAAAGGAGCGGACCTCTAAACTTCTAAAGCACCAACCAGTCCAGATATCTAATAATGAATTCCAGCCATCTGGCCACTAAAATTTGGTATTTGCCTTCCTGCATAATGATTCTTTAAAATAACAGGAAATTTCAACTCATAATTCTTTAGACTCGGAGTACAACAGATGTACGTTAAGTATAAGGCCAAATGAATCAAGTAACATTAATAATATTAATTTAATATCAAAGTTTGTGGCAATAAAATCTTTACGTGATTAAATTATTAGAAACAGATTGATATGTCTACCTTATTCCTTCATCATAGTGGGTTGTTGCATGTAATTATAGAATGTGTAAACGATCCAGCATAAAATTTTCAACTTTTACTTTAGTATCTCTTCTTAGTCTTCTATGATCAAATGATAAACTAGGTCAATTTTTTAAAAGTACTATTAACCAATTGAGCAGCATACTGTTGCATGTAATTATAGAATGTGTAAACGATCCAGCATAAAATTTTCAACTTTTACTTTAGTATCTCTTCTTAGTCTTCTATGATCAAATGATAAACTAGGTCAATTTTTTAAAAGTACTATTAACCAATTGAGCAGCATACTAGGGAGAGAAAGGAAAAAAATTTCTCGGGAATTCTTGCCGCAAATTTTCTCAGGAAAGTTTGTGTATATACTCGGGAGGGATACAGTCATGTGATTCGAGTGTTGTAATCTAGAGATCAATAAGAGTTCAGATCGAATTCCTTAAGGGGAGTTCGCAAGGGCGTAGCCAATCTTTGGCCTAACCTCATTAAATCGTGTTGTTTGTCTTCGCCATTTGCAATTTCTTGTTTATCTGTGTAATTGACCGAAGTTTGGGGCGAAAGCATTTCCTATCATGTAAAATATATGTGCTCTCTGTAGCTTTTGTGATGATGAAAAAGTTTTAAATATTACTTGTTTATGCCAAATTAATTAATGAAAAGTTTAAAACCAGTGTGTTTTATATATTCAAACTCAAATCATTAAATTTCATAAAAAAATTTAAATTTCAAATGTCAAAATAAAAAATTATAGAACGAGACCTAAATTTCAAAAAGAACATAAATTTCTTAGTTTATAAATGTTTTCCATGACCTCTCCATGATTTTTAGTTGAGTCCACTACTGTGACTTGAGATTAATCATGTAAAAGCAGGTGACAACTATATGTGATAATTTTTTTTAAGAGCATGTGGGAATTATTATATAGTCCATAATATTTCTTTGCCGGTAAAGTTCTTATAATTAATTAGCCATCTAGAAGAGCGAACATATTTAAAGCGTACAAGCATATAAATGATAATTAAAATTATTCTAGTCATAATATTTCTTGTCCCACAAAACTTGCAAGATCATGTGAGAAATATGTATAATAATTAGTTGCGTGTGATTACAACACACTCTGCCGTATTTGTTTCTAACGAGTAAATATCTCTCTGTTTTTTTTCCTTAAAGGGAGGGCAAATGTTTTCCATGAGCCCTCCATGATTTTTAGCTGAGTCAACTATTGTGACTTGAGATTATTCATGTAAGAGCAGGTGAGAACTATATATGATAATTTTTTTTCGGAGCATGTGAGAATTATTATTATATAGTCCATAATATTCTTTGTCTGTAAAGTTCTAATAATTAATTAGCTATCTGGAAGAGAGAACATATTTAAAAGTACAAGCATATAAATAATAATTAAAATTATTCTAGTCATAACATTTCTTGTCCAAGAAAAGTTGTACTTGTATTTTTAATTAATTGTGGGATAGGGTTATATCACTTAATATTGTATATAAATAAAAAGTCTAATTTGTAGCAGTACCTATTTGACAAAAGTAATATAGGCATATAAATAATAATTAAAATTATTCTAGTCATAATATTTCTTGTCCAAGAAAAGTTGTACTTGTATTTTTAATTAATTGTGGGATAGGGTTATATCACTTAATATTGTATATAAATAGATAGTCTAATTTGTAGCAGTACCTATTTGACAAAAGTAAGATAGATACGGATTCTTTGAATTTTCCCTCTTGATAAAATGATCTAACTGCTTCTATAAAAGGGCATTCATAACTGCAGGATTTTACATCATGAATTGAAACATTCAATTTCAAGATTTTTAAGAGAGAGGGAGAAAAAAAAAAGAGAGAGAATAAAAATGGATTATTTTAGTGAAGATGTGATGAGTTCTAGCGAGTTGCTTCAAGCTCACTCTCTTTTGTGGAGTAACTCAGTACATATTGTTAGGAATTTGTCATTGAAGTGCGTCATTGAACTAGGAATACCAGATATCATCCATAAACATGGCCAACCCATTACTCTTTCCAAACTCATCTCTGCACTTCCTATCCATCCTTCAAAAGCTCATTGCATTTATCGCATTATGCGCATTCTTGTTCACTCCGGTTTCTTTTCAGCCCTAAAAGTTAACGGAGAAGAAGAAGAATCACTCTCTCTCACAAACGTTTCCCGGCTTCTCTTAAGCGACGGGCCAGCTTCCATCAAAATGACATCATTTTTTCTTTTTCACCTTCTTCCCGAAGTGGCGGCTCCGTGGTACTCCTTGAGCACTTGGTTACAGCACAGTGATGGCACAACATTCGAGCACGGAAATGGGAAGAACTTTTGGGATTGTCTCGCTGATGAGCCAAAACATATTCATCTCTTTAACGAGGCAATGGCTAATGACTCCCAGCTAATTGCCAAGGTCATTCTAACTGAATATAAGAATGTGTTCGAGGGTTTGGAGACTTTGGTCGATGTTGGAGGAGGCACTGGAACCATGGCCAAAGCCATTGCTAGCA